ATAATATTTTCTGACTAGCTCCATGACCTTCACTGGCTCTATAATTCAGTTTCTCCATCTCTTCAGGGAGAAAATTAAATTGTTGTAAGGATTGAATGAGTTAATTCCCTAGAGCGGGGTCTGGCCCATAGTGGGAGCTATCGTTTCTATTACAAAAGAAGCACATTTTCATTTTCAAAAATCTAAAACATATAGATAAAAAGAAAATACAAAAATCATGTGTAATTTTACTACCCTGTGTCAATCACTTTTTTTAGTCCATTTTAAAAATTATTATTAGTTTCAGGTGTACAAAACAATGCAATAGTTATCCTTTTCACCCTTCACAAAGTGACAATCCCCCTCCCCCCATCTACTGCCCTCCCACCCCCAATATCATACATATTTATTACAATTCCATTGACTCCATTCCCACACTATACTCCACATCCCATGACTATAGATGTATTAAATTATAGTTGACATATAATATTATTCAACTGCAGCTAAAGAACTGAATAAACGAGTTATGTAAACAGAAATAGTCTCAGAGACACAGAGGAAAAACTGATGATTGCTAGATGGGACGGGGGTGGGATGAGGGAGAAGGCAAAGGGACGAGACAACATAAATTGGTAACTACAATATGGCCTCAGGGATAGAAAAGACAATCTGGGGAATATAATCAATAACGTTGTAAAGATTTTTTAGGGGGCTAGATGGACTCATGTCTTGTTAGGGAGACCACTTCATGGGCGGTGTAGAGGTCTGACCACTGCACTGTCAATCACTTTTAATTTTTTGATCTTTCCAATCTTTTTGCTATGTGTATATTTTACTGTGTATATTCTTTTGTACCTTGTTTTTTACAATATAACCTATTTTTGGTTAAAAGATTGTTGAGGGACCAATAGGTTAAGTAATTTGCCTAAGCTCATATAACTAGAATGCAATGGCAACAGGATTTGCACTGATGTTTTTTGAACTTGGTGAATGATTATTGCTGTGCTGGTAGTTATAGCAACTGAGGAAGAAGACAGGGAGAAAAATGAGTAATACAAATGGGTGGGGGGGAGTGCATTTAGTCTTTAAATTTTGAAAAGCAAAGCATGTACAAAAGGATGAACTCCATGACTAGATTTATTAAAGTCACTCAAGGGTTTAAATATATTCATTAAAGTCAGGGGTTTAACTATACATATACGCACACATGTGTATATGTAATTTTTTAATGGTTTATATCTACTTTCTTGAAGACTTCCTATTTCCTGAGGTTGAAGCTATATATGATTTCCATGTAATTTGCTTTTACTCAGAAATTACAGCTTTTTTTAATCAAGGAAGAAATCAGCTTGACAAAAATAAAAATAATTAAAACAGTGATTTCGTGAGTGTGTGGCAAATGGGCATTTTGCTATATTGCTGTTTTATACAACTTTCTGGAGAGATGTTAAAAAAATGGCAATAACTAATGTCCATTAACAGTGGAATGATAAAATTATGGTAAATCCACACAAATGAATTTGAAGCAGCTACTAGAAAATTATAAAGTCCGTGTTTGGTTATTAACATGGAAAGGCATTTCCCCATCGTGGAGGGGGCAACAATTAAACAGTATTATAAAATTGTCATCTCACTTTTTAAAATATAATTATTATTTACATATGTACACGGGGATAAACTGTAGAAGGATATACTCCAAATTATCTGGGTGGTGGTATTCCAAATGATGTTTTTCTTCAGTTTTTGCTATTGTGCACTTTGTGGGCCTTTTCTTACAAGGAAGTATTAAATTGAGTAAGTTTTAAAAATGATAAGGGAGCACCTTTTAAAGTCAAGACAGGAGGCTCACGTTTATGACACTTGCGCTTCATCACTGGAGTAGAGAGGTGATCATCAGCATTTGATCCCTTCATTCTTTGTGGGAGGTGGTATAGATACAGTTAGCATTTAGGCAGGTGACTATTTGATGAGCAGATAGATAGTAATTGCAAGCCCTGGAATGTGTGCCTCCCTCAGATTGGCGCCTACATAAAGCACTGAAAGTGATGGCTTGATAAATACAGAGAAAAATGTTCACCTGAGCCAGGAGTGTTGATTCCTGACCAGCAGGTGCAAAGCAGATGAGAAGAGGGAGGGAGAGGTCGCCCTGAGGGGCGGGAAGGGAGCTCACTGGCACAGATGGGGAGATTTGATCTGGTACTGTCTGCAAGAGCTGCGCTGACACCTGAGACACAAGATGACATTGAGATTTCACAAGGGCTGGACAGGTGTGCGAAAACTAGTCCATATATTCTTATTCAGGGAACACAACCTTTTTCATCCCTTTATTTTCTGTTGAAATCAGCTGGAAAAAAGCAAAAAGGAATGGAAGAAAATGGCTTTCTAAATAGAGGTAATCAGGGGATTTTTATTTTTAATGAATGAATTGTGTGGAATCAGATGAAAATAGCTATTTCCCCCCCCCCAAACCCACCCCCCAATTTCTGGCCACTTTGAGAGCCACTTTGCCAGCCCTCTCCTTAGCATGCTCATGATTCCAGTAAAATCGATCTCTCTCAGGTTACCATGACTTTCTGATAACTGAGTCCTTTTCTGTTTCCCCTGGCCCACTTCCCCTACCTCCTCATCACAGTTAAGTTTCTCCTTGTCTGTCACCTGTTGTAGATGGTTTGCTGTTTGTTTTGCTCTGTTTTGTTTTGTTTTTTTCTCCTACTCCCTTAGCTCATCCTACATAGTTAATTTTCCCAGTCACTGCGTTCAGCACCTAGACGTAAAGTTCAAACACTCTGGCCCTGGTATCCCAGGTTCTGCTCTGTGTGTCTAGACGTGCCTCCCACCACTGTTTCCCCCAACAATGCTGCTCTTCTGTAGTTTCACCCCCTGTCCCCAAACAAGCTTTGTAATTCCCTAATTCCATGCATTCATCCTGGTGGGAGGTAAAAGGCCTGCGCGGATTGAGGCATGACGCTGAGGAGGAATACAGACGTGCACAGCACATGAGGGTCATAGGGCATGAGGAGGTCATGGGCCACGAGTTCAAAGGACGTGCGTGCATATCCTGCCACCAGTGCTTTCTAGTTACGTGACATTATGCAAATTACTTAACCTTTTGGTTCCTCAGTGTTCTTATCTGTAATTGGATAGAACTCACCTCTGCCTGAGGTTCATCATTATAATAATTAAATGCTATAAAATGCCTAGCAGACTGTCAGGCAAATAGTAAGCACTCAAAAATGGGTAGTTCCCTTCTTAGCACCACTTTGGTTCTCAAAGACCTTATAATTTTCTAGCAGATGCGACATTATAAGCGATGTAAGTAGTGTAAACAAGAACACTGTGAGTTCAAAGAAGACAGAGCACAGAAAAATAAGTGGGCTGATAGTAAAAGATAGGATATCAAGAAAAGACTGGGTAAGAGTTTCCTCCAAGTGCCAATAATATAATTAAAGGTACAATCATAAGAAAGACCAAGAATGGAAAGCCCTTACCCACTTTAGATCTTTATTTAAAGTCCCCATCTTGGTGGAGCCTTCTTGCCACCTTACATAAAATTGCATTCCACTGCATTCCCATCACCCGGATGCCCCTACCCTGCTTTGTTTTTTCATTTCATTCGCCACCATATCACATATTTATTTGCCTTGTCTATTGTTTGCGTTCTCAAAAGGATGTAATTTCCACAGACAGGGCTGTGTGTGTGTGTGTGTGTGTGTGTGTATGTGTATGTGTGTGTGTTCATGTTCACTGCTGTGTTCCTGTTACCTAGCAGAGTATACACCATGGAGTATGTTGAACTCTCTGGATCAAGGTTTTGTGATGTGGAAGGGCAGGAGGTTCTAGAAGATAGGAAAATTAATCTGACATCAGTTGACCGCAAATTTGAGAGATGGGAAGACAAGATAGTCTCTATTGTGGTAGTCCAGGAGCCAGGTGAAGAAAGCCTGCACCAGGTGGTAGTTAGAGAAATAAATAGGAAGGGACAGCAAACATTCCAGCAGAGTTACCTAAACATGACTGTTTCAACATCAATAAAAGGCTGGAAAAGCATGTTATAGTCACAGGCAGCAACACTAGGCAGCCATCCAAGAGAATGAAGTAAATGCATGTATTCTAAATGTACTGATAAGAAAAAATAACTAATTGCAAAGGGTACATACGTAATTCCATTTGTATAAATATGTGCATAAATAATTTGTAGATACATTAAATTCATCTGAAAAATACATACCAGACTGTTACCATGTGTGAATGGCGCCAGGAAAGGTATCTACTGGTCTTTACTATTCTATTACACAGTTCTGTGCTATCTGGTTCCTTTTCTATAAGCCTGTATTCTTTTATATTAAAATATGTTTAAATAGATAATTTATATCAAGTTCAATATCTCAGAAATACCAAGAATATACTTCTGGCCATCACAGTTATTTTAAATGTCATTTAAAATCTTTTTTCACAAAATAAGCATTAACATGCGAGAACAGTTTGCATTTTAACTAGAAATCTGACCCTTAATTCAACAACACTAATGAGGCAAATGAATTTGGAGGGGCATGATCCAACACTAGAGACCCTTTTATTCAAGAAGGAAGCCACTGTCATGTTCCAGTTTATCAAAGAGTCAGAAAGTATTTCCTAATTAATGAGTAATGACAATATTAATAATCCACACCTGGGAAAGTAATCTCCTAGGAAAGATTTTAAGTTTAAAATGATGGATGTTTTGCACACAGACACACACAAATTTATGGTTTATAAGCCATTGAAAACTATGGTTGTGATGGCCATTGACAGAAATGAAAATAATAAATCTGGCATTAAAAACTTGTTGCTTTGAAGAAAACTTGCATGGTCCCTTTTAAAAAATGATTTTCTTAAGACACAGTTCAAGTAAAAACGGTCTGAACCCTTTTCTATTTCAAAGTAAGACTTTATATGCTATTGTTTGAAAATGAACATTACTCTTTGAAGCAATTTATGGATACTACTTACATCTTAACTTTATTATTTTTGACTCTCAGGTGCCAGTTCAACAGATTCTGACAGTGAAAATTTAGCTTTCAACTCAAAACCTGGAGCTATGCCACAGTAAGTGCTTATGATTCTATCAGTTATATAGCAAAGAATGTCAGCAGATTTGTTGGGGTGTGAAGATACATGTGTTTTGCTCTGAAGGAAAAGATCAGCTGATGTTAATCAAAGATCAATACTTGAACCACAATTTTTAACTTATGAATTTGAACTTGAAGTCTGCATTTCATCATTGATATGCCAAAATCTAACCATATACAATGCTAATTTCAAAGACAACTAATGAGTTATACATGTATAAAAAAAGTCACGTTGAGAGAAAATTCATTAAATCACTATGAAAATGTAAATGAGGATCAATTTATTTATGCACATTGGAAAATATCTCATTAGGCCAGAAAGAGGTTTCTATTTGGATAAAATCTGTTTCCAGTTAGATCTTGTCATAGAAATCTATCAAAATTTAGTTCTTCCTACAAAGACATGGATTATTAGTAAAATGTTATTATCTTAATATTTTGCAAAAATCATTTAAAACTTGCCAGATTTTGTAGCTAACTCTATGAATATTGAGACTGTGATAATAAATTCCTTTGACATGCTAGTATATACATAACAATTATATTCATTCAGCATCAATTAATCACCAAATATTAATGCTAAAGGGACCTTAATAAAATCATATATGTACTCTCTCACCTCTCATTTTAGTGAAGTTGCATGACTTGCTTGAGATTACACAGTAAGCAACTTAGCAAAACAGGGCCTAGATACCAACTGTTTTTAACCTTTCTCTACACCTTACTTTTATGCACTAAGAAAAGACAAAAATTCCAAGATACTCTGAACACAATTAGAAACCAGAAAAAAAAAACAGCTGCTATCTCCTTAAAATAGACAACCAGAACTTTGAATTAAATATGGAACCCTAACCCGAAAGATTGCAAATATTTGCGTACTGCTGAAGGTTGGACTTTTTCTAAGTATTTTCTTTTAGGATTTTTAAGTTCAGTACTTTAAGTTCTGTGATAACAGCTGAGTTACATACAGCTACTTTTCTTCTGTGTGTTTACTTTGCTAATATGTATTGGGGCCATTCTATGCATATACTGACCGCAGCTATTCTGACTATTCCCGTTTCTGAATCACTTACAGTTGAAGTGGATTAAGTACACAAAAAGAAACTGGGCTGTTCCATGGAAATGTTTTAAAGAATAATTCCTCATTTAAAAAAAAAGAAATGCTGACTGAGCACTTGCCTCCCTATTTTCCAGAGCTCAAAAGAAAACGACTTCTGTTTCCCTGACAATAGGAGCATCATCTCCAAAGACAGGAGTGACCACAGCTGTGATTCAGCCATTATCGGTTCCTGTTCAGCAGGTAAGTGTGCCTTGGACCAGCGCCCATAAGGAGTCAGGCTCATTAGCAAACTTCTTGGTTTAAAGAATATAGCTTTGATTTTCACTAGTCTACACCCTTGGAATCGCTTCCAAGTGGAAACACAACTGGAAGAAAAGAAAATGGTAGGTAAAGTTCTTCCTTTCAATCCACTAAAAAGAAATCTTTAATAAGCCACACCACCTGTTAGTCAGTATCTGCATTTCCACTTGGAACTTCCCTTTCTAACAGCCAACGATCTGATAAAATGGTGTCTGGTTTAGCTATTGACTATTTGATTGTTCTCCCCCATAGGTGCTTCCTTGCATTTAGCCACATATATTAGCTCGTTTAAACAAATGAGAAGTCCACATACCAACAAAAGTTTTCTCATCCTCTAAGCGCTAAACAAGTAAAAAAAAAAAAAAATCAAATTCCTTGACTTGACCATGCATTTTTATCCTCTTTTTACTTCATTGTAAGACTGCTTTGTCCAAGAAAGGACAATAATACAAACTACTGGAAGAAAAATTGTAATGAGTTTATTTTGCAAGCACAAACAATGTGAAGTTTAAAAAGTAAAAATATTAAAATCTAAATGTCTCTAACCCAAATATGTTACTTTGCCTTTCTGCTATGATGAGTATCTTTACATACAAAAGCTCACAAAAGGCTCCCCCCACCAACACTCTTGAGCTGTAAACTCATTTCTAACTCATGAGGATGTTAAGTATATTTTGTGAGCATCACCATGTCCTCTGTCTATTGAGCATTCATAGGTATTTTAGTAACTATAATGTGTGCCATATATTCCGTGATATGTGGAATATGCATACAGCAAAGACGTTTGTGTTCATAAACTTGAAAAGAACCAATCAGTATAAGTTATTTGGAAATAACATATATAATAGATATTTCATCTAAACCCCTAGAGTGGAATTTATAGAAATTTCTGATTAAATCAATGGATATTTTGCGTGTTTGATATTTCAGTGTTGGTAAGTATTTAATGAATGATCAGCACTGTGTTAGGAATTTCATGGTGGAAAGAAATATACATGTCACCAGCTCCATCCCTAAAGAGTTTATAAACTATGCGTGGGAAATACAAATTAATACACATGTAACGCTTCTTGAATATGATAGAATACATTAAGGTGTAACACGAAAGGGTAAAAGCAGAAGGACACACATGTATCTAAATATGTAAATGCCATAATAATGTAACAGTACATTTTAAAATGGTTTAAATTTTATAGGAACACTGAATAGAAGGTAATATAGTCCACTTGTATAATTGGGAGAATGAAGTGCTCAGAGAAATTCCATTGCTTTATTGTATGTAGTCAAGGTGACATGAAGGTTAAGGCCCTAAATTCATCCTGCCTGGGTTTGAATCCCAGCTCTTCCAACTATGAACTAAGGGACCTTGAGCAAGTGATATAGCTTCTCAGTGCCTACTTTCTTCATCTATAAAATGAAGATCATCTATCTCACAGGATTGTCATGAGGATTCAGTGAGTTAATCTCCATATTACACTTAAAGCAGTGCCTGGCACAGACTAAATACTGTATAAGTGTTCATACATTCTTTGGAAATAAAAAGACAGTGAAAAGTAAGACCCAGGCCTCCTGAATAACGAGCTATAGAAAGTCTTACAAGGATAATGGATAAGACCCATTACCATCCTTGCATCTCTGTAACTGCCAACATCCTCAATGATATCCTGTGGGAAATTTAGATACATGATACCAGATCATCATCATCTCAGGTTAAAAAACTAGTAATCACTCATATAGAAGTGAATAAATCCAAAGTGTTTGAAAATAAATGATTGTACACAAAGAAAGATTGTCCATTCCCTGCTCTGAAATCCTTATATTCCTCCAGAGATGAATGCCATTCAGTAAACATTTCAGCACCTATGTTTTTTGAACACCATTTCCTATATGCCTATATCAAAAAAGAATACGAGTTAAAAATAAGATAGGTAGATGTTTGATCATTTACCCTCCACTGCTGTTAACTTGTGCATTTTATTCAGGGAATCCAAACTATATTTTAGAGATAAAATACGATGTCTGTGAGAGCTTTTAAAAATACCCCTGTGGAAGTCCCTCCCACACACACAAATCCATTTGGTGATAGTATTTAAAAGCTCATGAATCCCTAAGGAACCAGGGGACTTTTACGTTGTATATACTTTTGAACAGAGACGAGTAACAGATGTGAAATGAGGAAGCAGACAATGTCTGTGCTGTACGAATAGATCAGCAAAATGATATATGGAGATACTTTCATTCACTCGGTTTCATCCATGTGGAGCAATCTTAATAAGGAAAGGTTTCTTTAGCCCATCTTTGCAGCAATTGATAGATTTAGAATTTGATCCATGTGTCTCTGCTTTTTCAGGTTCACAGTCCAACCTCGTATCTCTGCAGACCTGATGGAACCACTTCTGCCTACTTTCCTCCTGTTTTTACAAAGGTCTGACATCTGCAAGTCTCGTTCTCTATATTTGCTTTGGTGCTTAAATTCCATTCACATGTGGCTTCGTGTAGTGGTCTTTAAAAATTAAAACAAACAGATCAGTAGGCTGACTATCATGATTACCATTGGGACTAAGTAGATATTTTTTTAACAATTGCCATGTGACTATAATCTTGTGAAGGGTCTGAGAAATGTGGGCATGGTTAGTGACCTGATAGAGCTCTGAATAGAGTGGGAAAGCTAAGACCAAAAAAAAAAAAAAAGACAAAAATCTGAGTAGGAAATTGCTTGGGAGGACTGGCAAGTTTTAAAGAAAATGTTTTTCTTTAAAAGGACTAATCTTCAATTTGTTCTAAGTTGGTATTTTTCATGGTTACACTAAATAAAATTCATTTCATTGGTCAACTGTTGAAATGAGAAATGATTCCATTTGGCCTTTCTTCTTCTCCCCACCTCCCTTTTTTTGAATAGAATTATAAAACTTTATTGAAAGACATTTAAAAAGTCACAAATAAATCAAGACGTACCATGATTAGGGACTGGTAGACTGTAAAGAAGTCATGGTTCCTAGATTAATCTATAAATTTAATGCAAATACAGCTAAAATTCCAGCAGGTTTCTTGTTTTTATTTATTTCTTTGATATTGAACTTGGTAATTTGATTCTAAAAGTTTAGTGGAAGAAAAAAAATAGCTAAGAACAGCGGGGGGAACTCCTGCAGAAGAAAAATAAGGTGGTGTTAGGGAAAGGGTGAGATGTGTCCTCTGAGATGCCAAGACTTTCTGAAGGTATAGCACTGGGATAGTATGGAGCTGGCACAAGGCTAGACAACTTGACAAGGAATCAGAGTAGAGCCTACATGTACTCCAGTTCCCACAAAAACCTACAGGCCACTGGGTAAAAGAATAAATTCTTTGCAGAGCTGAAAAATATCAAGCTTCCCACTCAAGTTTTTCACAAAAATTAATTCCAAGTAAAGTAAAGACAAACATGATAAGCAAATCTATAAAACTTCTGCGAGGCAATAGAAAGAGAGCATGTTAATGATGTTCATGCAGGGAGTTAATTTTTTTTCTTCTCAGCAAGCCTGTATCAAGCTTCAGTAAAGATCTTTTCATAAACAGAGTATAGGCTGTAGGATGCAGGCAACAAATGATACCATCTGACAACACCTGTAAAAGTTCTATCCTGGATAAACTACCCCCTCAAAAATCATGTAAAATCCCCCCAAAAAAACCAATGTCACTGTAATGGTCAATGAAGTCATCCTTTGATGCTTAAAACAGGAAACGTTTGCAGGGGTGGACACTTCACGTTTACATGTAGTTTGAAAGATTTTCACAAGCAGCTTCCTGAGACCATTACCAGAAAGTCTGTGTTACCGGATGTATTATAGACTGGGACACAGTTGATTTGTGGGGGGTGCCCAGTGCATCTCTTGCTTTAAACAAATGAAGTCCTTGCTGGTGACATCAGGGGAGGAAAAGAGGACATAAGATGTTGCTTTCCCTCCCCACAGGGATTCACCGCAGTGGCCTGGCATGTAGAAATGTTACAGAATTCCTCCTGGGCATCAGAAGAAATTCTCAAACACTAGACACAAAACTGTGTTTTATCCAGAGCAATCTAGCTCCTAAGATGAAGACATTCTATTAATGGTGTGTCCCACTTCCCCAAAAGAAAACTGTGCACCAGTCTATGTAGCTTAATAAAAAGTAATGTGAAACAAAATTCTACATTTTTACTAACATCAATTTTTAAAAACCTCAAACTGGAGAGTGACAGGAAGCCCAGAGCACACCTCACTGGGCAGCCCCAGCCCCTCCACTGTCTGTGTCTGGACTGTGGAACATCTGTTTTTCTGCAGGGTTTCCTTCCTTGCTTGCATCTGCTTTTCTTGCTCTTTCCCCGTTTCCCCCTTGGGCAGCTTCTCTCCGTGCTTCTTCACAGAGCCCTTTGTGGGCCTGGGCTGTGGTTATTGGAGGGGCAGGTTTAGAAAATAAGTTTGCCGATCTCTGTAACTCAAACGAGCCTTTGCTTTGTCAGCTTTAGCATCTTGCTTGGCCTTTCTCTTGGGCATGAGGGTTGACAGTGGATGGCAGGTGGGCTCTGCCAGTCCGAGGGGTGTTTCCATCTGTTTTCTCGCACAACTCTGGGAAGGATTCCCACAATTCACAGCTGGTCAGTGACAGGCCAGTGCCTCTGCCTGCGGACTTAGCTGGGGCAGCAGAGCTGGTGTGGACTGTGGGGACCAGGACACACAAGGCCAGGAGAATAACTAGCCCCGTGTGGCATTTCTTCCCAAATAGTTTGACCCCTCTAAAGGATCCCAGTATCACGTGGACTTGATGTACGCCAAGAGATACCCTTAGAGGGACACTAAAACACCCAGGGATGCCAGTTCCTACCCTGAATGGATGACCCAGATTGCCAAGTGTGACCTCTAAAGGTTGGCTGGCTGTCTCCTTCAAGGCTCCTCTTTATGTCCCTGCAGGCTCTCCTAATGGCTAACTGTGTTTAGCTGTGCCTTTTGCCTTTTAGATAAAAATGTTTGCCGCCGGAGGAGCCAAATTGTAATCTTGGAATAACTATGAAGTTTTGAGTGCTTGAAGTCCTTGGCATGTACCTGTGTCCTGCATTGCTGACTGTCAAACATTTGAACAAAACGCATAATTCTAGGAATAAATCAGTCTCCTTTGGTGCCTATAAGCTCAAACATGAAAATATTTGTGTACCGCTTGTCATCTACCCTGAATGGCTTCCTGGACAAGCCGGGAGGCGTTTAATAATTAACCCACACAAGCTAGGTCCCAGGAGCAATGCTTTTCCTGCTATGACCCACTAAATTAGCTCTTTCTGGACCCATTCAGAGAGTAGAAGTCAATTTAAAACCAGAGAAGCTTTCTATGTTTAAGGATAAGGAAGGAGAATGTAGGCGGTCAGAAGTAGTTAATGACCTTCACATTTTTACTTGATGACGTTCTTCGCCACCAAAGTCCTACCAAGTGCCTCTGCAGACTTCTGACTTCACGTTAGACGTTTAGAGTTCTCCTGCCAGCACCATCGGCTCTCAGAGTTTCCACAGAGCTTTAGCACCAAAGGCCATTTGCTGCAGGACTTGTTTCCCAGCACAGCCTTGTTATCTTTTCAGATAATTAAAACACAAACACACCCAAGAACCACACACTTCCTAATGTGAATTTGCTTTTGATCTATGCAGAGGTGAATTACTTTACCATAATTTAATTATTTTAAGAGTTCTACATACCCTATATCAGATGCAATACATTATAGTCAGAAGTGTAAATAGTCAAAAAGTGTAAGTTGGCCTCATTGCTAAATAATCCTGGAGGAGGAAGGAAGGGAGGGAAGGGACGTATGTAAGGGAACTATTCATCTTTTGATGTTTAAAGACAAGTATAAAAGCTGTACCTTTTTGCATCTGTGAAGCCAAATTAATCTCTAATCTGTTGGATTGTAAAAATGTATTGGTCTGGAGTTGGAGCGGGTGGGGGGGCAACAAGGGTAATAGCAAGGGAGAAGGAAAGTTCAAGAAGGGATAAGGGCTGCATGGTTTGTTTTACTCAGAACCTCAAAACAAGAAAAGACTAAAATCCCTTATCTTCATAAACTTGACATAGGTGGTGGGGGAGTACACGAAATGGTTGGTGCAAGTGAAAACAAATGTACGTCTTTTTTTCTCTCCCTGTCTGGCTTCATAGGAATCGACATTCGTATGGTGTGTAATTGTTTGTTATAAGAAGTTTGCATTCCACCAGCTTACCCTTAAATGTAGATAAAGGTAACAGTTGTTACCATAAAATTCCATAAATACAAGAGTGAATACATTTGCAGACAGGCCCACAATTTCTACAGGCCCAATGGTAAAACTTACTAATTTCATTGCATGGAGACTATGAAAAGTTGATGATCAGTGGATTTAAAGGTGATTTACCTTACCTGAGGTAGTGGTCATTTTTTTATGATGCAAGTCTACTTTTTTTTTTCTCCTCTAAAGTTGGAAGTTTTATTCTCTGTTGTGAAATTGTGGAAGAACACACCAAAGTCTGATGGACAGTGTTTTCCTTGAATTTCAGGAACTGCAAAATATCGCCGCATCAGAAGGCCAGGTGGTGGTTCTGGAATGCAGGGTCCGAGGGGCGCCCCCATTGCAGGTTAAGTGGTTCCGACAAGGCAGTGAAATCCAGGACTCCCCAGACTTCAGGATTCTACAGAAAAGTAAGGAAATGCCCATTCTCCCAATCCAGCCATTGTCTTCTCTCAAGCTTCAGAAAAACCAAGAAGGGTTTAGTCATTCCAATGAATTGATTTCTGTTAGCAAAGAGAGGTGAGGAGATAATCTGCAAACGTGAGAGGTTGACTAAATTAAAGACTAAATTAAAGCTGGGGCCTCTCCTGTGGAGCCCTTTGAAACTCTAAGGAAAGTTATATATTCTTCAGAAAAAGAAATGCACCTATACATTTGAACTCAAAGTTGGGCAAATGATTTTAGGGGACTCACAAGCCTCCTGTAAGACCTATGATTTGTGATTTAGGCTGTTACTGGAATTTGAGTTTCTATATTGATAGAAATATAAATTGATTTACAATCACTTTATCTCTTTGGTATTATGGAGTTTGTCTGTAACATTTCTGCAGACATGTCTTAGACAATGTAATAGGAAAAGTTAGGTAGGTTTATTATTAATGGAACCCATTCTAATACTGTTTTTATTTACTTTTTTTCTCATATGGAAAACAGAACCTAGATCTACAGCTGAACCTG